GGTGTGTTGTGTGTGTGTGTGTGTGCGCGCGGTGTGTGTGTGTGTGTGTGTGTGTGTGTGTGTGTGTGTGTGTGTGTATTCCATGAAGAGGGTAAAGGACAAGAGTCCAGGGAAAACCAAAACAAAAGTACAGAGAACAGAATCAGGGAGAAAACACTGAGAAGGAACACTCATACAGACAGGAGCAAGAAACACAGCGCCTGTACCACAGGGATGTGGGTTGACAGGTACACACAACAGAAGCTTTTCCAAACATAGAAAGCTATTCAAACTGTTTAGGACTGGGGAAATAGCTCAGTAGTGGAGTGATTCCCCTAACATAACCAAGACCTTGATTAGATTCCCTAGCACCCTATCCCATCCCTGCCTCAACCCCCCGAGAGAGAGAGAAAGAGAGAGAGAGAGAGAGATTACAAAGGAAGCTATATGATGTCATTTGTTTTTTGTTTGTTGCTGTTGCTGCTCTTCAAGGCAGGGTTTCTCTGTGTAGTTCTGTAGACCAGGCTGGCCTCAAACTCACAGAGATCGGCCTGCCTCTGCCTCCCAAGTGCTGGGATTAAAGGCATGCACCCCTACCGCCCAGCTAGAAGCCACTTCTTAAAATTCACAATTCTGCCCGGTATTGGTGGCGCACGCCTTTAATCCCAGCACTTGGGAGGCAGAGGCAGGCGGATCTCTGTGAGTTCGAGACCAGCCTGGTCTACAAGAGCTAGTTCCAGGACAGCCTCCAAAAGCCACAGAGAAACCCTGTCTCAAAAAAACAAAAACAAAAACAAAATAATTCACAATTCCACAATACTTTCTTTGGGGGCAGCTTGATGACAAGCCCTTTATTTAGTTCTCATAGACATGTAAGGAAAAGACAGCATATCACTGGCCATTTATCCCAGTCCTGTTGCATAATAGTTTCCTCTGAGATTGAAACTCAGTCCTCCAGGGAAGCTCTTTAAAACATCAAGTAACCAACAAAACAGCTTCAGGAAGTCCCTAAAACTGACCAGATTTACTAGGCCCCTCCCTTCCCAAGATTATAGTAGCAATAAAGACTACTGTGCCATTCTTAGCCAAGCCCACCTTCATAGAAGAAACAGAGACAAACTGAGCCCCTTGAAAAGGACACTCTCCAACCTTTTGAGCTCCCTGCAGACTGTAGTACAATCTAGATTTCTATCTTGTGGCATGGTGACTGTCACCCATGCCAGAGGTGGGCTTTGGTAAAGATGCAGCTGTTTTTGAGTCATTTCTGTTCCTGTAAGTAACCCCTCTCATATTCCTGTAAATAACCCTAATAAAACTCATTGGTTCACCAAGTTGGACTTTGGTGTATCCACACTTCTGTCATCAGTCCCCTATCTGGAGTAGATGTTTGTTCATATGTTCCCAGAATAGTCTGCCCAACGAGTCCTACTTCCGGTTCACTCTCATATCCCCTTCCCTTTAGGAACCAAACTCACCTTCTGAGGAGTTAAGATGACTTTATATTTTCTAAATCGGCCTGCCAGTTTGTCAGCATTGACAAGATCTATAGAGAGAAGGAGTTCAGCACAGCAAGCCATGGGCTATCTGTTAGACAAGAAACAAGGAAACAGAACTTCTCTCCCCTTCCTGATTCCCCCCACACCTTTCCCCACCAAGATCTTGTTTTGTAGCACAGGCTAGCCTCAACTTGGATTCTTTCTGCCTTGGCATCCAAAGAGCAGGGATTAAGCTGGGTGTTGGTGACGCACGCCTTTAATCCCAGCACTCGGGAGGCAGAGGCAGGTGGATCTTTGTGAGTTTGAGACCAGCCTGGTCTACAAGAGCTAGTTCCAAGACAGCCTCCAAAGCCACAGAGAAACCCTGCAAAAACACCCCAAAAACACAAAAAAACCCCCTTGCCAAAAAACAAAAAAAAAAAAAAAAAAAAAAAAAGCAGGGATTATAAATATGCACCACTATGCCTGCCCAGCAGGTCTTTCCTTATCAAAGGGTCCAATGGCCAAGGACCTCCTAACCTTCCCACCTTCTCCCTGCTCTTAGCTCCACATAGTACCATGGGCTTACTTACTGGCAATGTAGCGCATATTCTTGATGCGGGGTCTGACTAAGAAGCACAATCTATGGATGAGTAAGAAACAGGGGAAAGTTAGGCAAAATCATGAAGAGGGAGATAGAGTCTAAGAAAAAATTAAAATGAAAACAAATCTTTAATCATTTGCCCTTCTTTGGCCAGGCCTACAGATCTCTGAGCTACCATGTGCCATCCACAGAAGTCATTTCTCATGTTGTAATGTAACATGTAACATGTACCTGTTGCAAGGTACACTGTGATGATGTAAGTGTCTTATTGGCTCTCTATATAGTAGATCCAGGAGTTCCTGTTCTTAAACAATTGGTGATCCAATGTGCTGCATATATATATTTTCAATCAAATACTAAAAATGCACTGGGATGTGTGCATGTACTTTCCACATATCTAGAAATTTTTCTTTTAAGGAAAAGTATACACTACTCAAGTTTGAGAAACATTTAAAAAAAAAATCAAAGGGCTGGAGATATAGTGCAATGGTAGAGTACAGAGAAACCCTGTCTCGAATAACCAAAAAAAAAACCAAAAAACAAAAACAAAAAAAACCCAAAATATATGTAATATGTGTGGAAGCAATGTCAACAGAGGCTTGAAAGGACATATGAGGAACAAGACTATATGGATAGCATCAAGGCCTTGAAACTTAGGATGCTCAACTGGACTACAGTATCCAGTAATTAATGTGAAGTCTTGGAAGTGTTTTCCTTTTAACATTTACTTATTTATTTGTGTGTGTGTGTCTGTGTGTCTGTCTGTGTGTACATGTACTACAGCTTGTGTTGTGGAGGTCAGAGGACAACCTGTGGGAGAAGGTTCTCTTCTTCCCCTATGTGGGTGAAACTCATGTTGTGTGGTAGGCATGGCGGCAAATATCTTTACCTACTAAGCCATCTCATCGATCCTGGAGACTCTATTTATTATCTATTCATTGCTGTTGTGTATGTGTGAATGCAGGTCCACGTGCAGAAGTCAGAGGATAATTCTGTGAAGTGGATTATCTCCTTCTACCCTTCCATGGGCTCCAGAGACTGAACTCAGATTACTGGACTTTCCCAGCAAGTGCTTTACCCACTTCCTGAAGCTGAGCCATCCTCCAGCTGCCTCTGCAGGTGTTAGACAGCAGGATAACAAAGAAATAATTCTAGCTATAGATAATAGCATGGAGGAAGGAGGGAAGAGGACAGAGTGGGAGAAACTGCAGTAAGGAAGACTAACAATCTGCCCATGATATTGTCAACATTCAGGGAACTGGGCCACATAACAGGCACTGTGGTTGTAGATCTCAGGCATGGACAAAGCAGGGCAAATATACACCTAGGGACCTCCTCCAGCATGGAGGCCACAGAGACTCCCAGACACTCACTGTTCATTGGAGCTGAGGGCCGGCTTGTTCTCCACCTTGTACAGCTTGTCTACTTCATGTTGCTACAGAGAGAATCCAGGACAATGGACAGAAAAGTTGGAAAAGCCCAAGCATGACACAAAGATATTTGAATGTTTAATCCTAGAAAACAATCTGATCCACTGATAACCATCCCAATAACCATCCCATTCTTCCTTACGGTCAATGGAAAAAACAAATGCAAAACATAACACAAACCTCATCATCAGTCCCCTGCTTGCCTGCCCAGGTGAGCTGACTTGCCTTTACCCTGTCAAGGGCATCACCCTTCAGAAATTGGTTATGCTCGTCAACAGAAAAAATGCTTAAAGGGGAATGGAGGGCAGGACTTCCCTGAGAAAAGGGCTGGTACCTTTAGGATGGAGACATTAGCAATTCGATCCAAAGGGCTCATGAGATCTGCCTCAATGAACAAATCCTTCTTTCCAGGAAGCTGAAGGAGAGAAAGTATGGTTGATCACTCATAGGTCATATGAGCGGCCCTCAACTGAGACTTTGTACAGGTACTCACTTACTAAAAACTTGGTCTGCAGTTGAAAGGGCATGAGACATCTGGCTAGGAGGCATCTTATTCACTGTCTGTATTCACCATTGACACTTCTTTGCATATAAAAAAAAATGTTTGAATTACTCAGCTTGGCTGCCTGTCACTAAATTGTGACTTTGATCACTGTCTGTCTTCCCCACTACCTCTTCTCCTCTGCCTCCTAACAGTGTCTCATTTCCTACAAAGACAAGCTCAACAAAATCCTACCTTGCATCCCGCAAAACCTTTAACTAACTGCTAAATATCTTTTCCAGTGGCATTTTGCTTTCAGTCACAAAAATGACATGCTTAATGCAGAACTTAGAAAATCAGTGTGGGGCTGGATGTGTGACTTAATGATTCAGTATGTGAGCTGCATGCATGAGGCCCCACTTTCAATCACCATCCCTGAGAAAAAGAACACTGCAGACAGGACTCACCCTACCTCTTCTTCCTACCTACCGATGATACCCACCATGGGATTCCAGCACCAACACTCTGGATGCTGCTCTCCCATTTGTACAGGAGAAGGTCACAACTAGTGACAGGAAGAGGTGAGTCACTGGAAGGTTCCTTTCAACTAGTCTTTGACATATTGGTGGGAGTTGATAGTTACAATTATAGAATAATCAGTTAGGAACCAGGGAGACGAGGGTAGGTGCAAAGAGGAAGGCTGAGCAAGCCATTCAATTGGGTTGGTGCATATGGTACATGAATGGCAGTAGTTCTCAGCTGGGGACACCTGACCATGCCTGGGTACATGTTGGGCTACCTGGAAGGAGGATAGGAATGCTGCTAAGCTACCCACAATGCATAGAGCAGGCGGGCCCTACAACATGGAATTACTACATTCAAGATGTCTGAAGTACAGAAGAAATGGTGGGAAATGGTTCCACCAGTTAATTAGGACTGGGCATCAGGGCTTTGATGCCAGTAAGTAGGGAGTTTGTACTTGATCCTTAGAGGAACAAGGGAAACAGAAAACCTTTGTACACTAAAGCACAAATCAGCCAGAAATTTTAGACGGAATGTGCAACTGTGGATAAATAAATTGAAGAGAAGAGAAACTGGAGTTAGGGGCTCATTTAGGAAGTTAATGGAACAGACCAAGAAGCCAAGCATGTAGTGATGAGAATGTGCTTAGGCTGGGGATAGTGTGAACAAAACAGATTAAATACGCTGTTGAGTATGTGTGTGCATGATGTGTATACGTGAATGTATGTGCCATGTTACATGTAGTATTGATGTCAATGGACAGCACTATGGAGTTCTCTCCTTTTGCCTTTATATGGTTTCCAGGGATCAAACTCAGGTCAACAGGCTTGCACATGCAAGTGCCTTTACCTACTGAGGTATCTCATTGCCCCTCAAAAAATAAACTTCAAGCAGGGTGGCTTCGGTGGCAGTGGTAGCAGCAGCGGTGGCAGTGGTGCACATGCCTTTAATCCCAACACTCGGGAGGCAGAGGCAGGTGGATCTCTGTGAGTTCAAGGCCAACCTGGTCTACAGAACAAGTTCCAGTACAGCCAGGGCTACACAGAGGAACCCAGTTTCAGGGGGAAAAAATTAAAATTAAAATAAACAACAACAAAATAAAAAATAAAAAAAAAACAATTCCCATACTTGAAGGATATCAGCAGTATTAACACTGCATATGCTGGCATGATAGGAGCAGAAGATTTTTTTGTTTTGTTTTGTTTTGTTTTGTTTTTTTTCCAGACAGGTTTCTCTGTATTGCTTTGGAGTCTGTCCTGGAGCTTGCTTTGTATACTAGGCTGGCTTTGAATTCACAGAGATCCACCTGCCTCTGCCTCCCTGAATGCTGAGATTAAATACATGTGCCACCACTGCCCAGCTAGAAGTGTTTTGTTTTGATACTTTCCTTTGTCTCCCACATTTTCTTTTTTCTTTTGTTTTGTTTTTCGAGACAGGGTTTCTCTGTGGCTTGGGAGGCTGTCCTGGAACTAGCTCTTGTAGACCAGACTGGTCTGGAAGTCTCCCACATTTTCTATATAGTACAAGGGTTCTCTTTAAAGCCACATATGAGGAAGTATCCACAAGACTCCACAGCCCAGTTGAGTATAAGGGAAACAACAGTCAAGGATGATTTTGGTATATCAAGTTGAATAACAGTGCTCATTAAAAAAGACAAAGTCAGGCTGAGGAAATGGCTCAGTGGATAAAGTACTTGCTCTGTAAGTGTGAAGAAACCACGTGAATGTCAGGTGAGAGTGGTGGGCCACTTATAATTCCAGCAGAGAACGGATCTCTAGAGCAAGCTGCCTAGCTAGACTAGCCTGTACCAGCAAGTTCTAGGTTCAACTGAGAAAATTCGCCTCAATGAATAAGGTGAACAGTGATGGAGAAAGACGACCAGTATCAACCTTGGGCCCAGCCCCCCATAGACACATATATGTACTCATACACATGCAAACATGCATGCATACTACATACATGCCACACACACACACACACACACACACACACACACACACACACAGAGAGAGAGAGAGAGAGAGAGAGAGAGAGAGAGAGAGAGAGAAAGACAGAAAGGAGTACAAGGAGGAAACTATTGCCCAGAGATTCCCTGTGATCCTGAGCTACCCTGGTGTCTCTTCCTCCACCATGCTCCACTAATAAGTTCCTATTCCTAGCCTCACCTGCTCTCTAGCACTCACTTTTTCTATTCTTCACATACTTGTTGAGACACATTCATGGGCAAATCTCTATGATAGCATTATGGGAAAATGCTATCATATAGGAAAGGAAAAATAACATATGGTCCTGGGTCCCCTGAGGTTCCAAGTTGCATCCCAACCCTCCCCCAGGTGCTCTTCTCTCCCTCTACCCCCCTCTCCAGGGCTATGACTAAACTCAGGGTTCCAAAGGAGGGCAACTATACACTGAGGAACATCCACGGCCGCTCACAACTAGAACCTTAACTTCATTTAAGCTCTAAAACAATCGACTTCCTCCACCTAGCCTCTTCCTCTAGATTTGTGTGCAGTATGCACTTGTATGTATGGGCTTTTCATTTTCATTCAATGTTGACAGAAAATACTCATTAAGCACATGCTCTGTGCCTGACTAGAACTAAGCTAAGTACTCAATCTTGGGTATATAGTGCAGGACAGATATAATACCTAAACCTCAGAACCTTCCAAGCTAATGAAGGTCACGAACAATAAGAAAACTACTACAGTGATAGTAGCAACATTATTTTCCTAATAACACAGATTAAAAGGGCAAGTAAACTTTGCTTCTCCCTCAACATTTACAACTAATCAATATCTTTGAATTTCTTTTCTTTCACTGTAACTTATAAACCTATCACAAATCAGGTGTGCCGGCAAATTCGTGTAATGCCAGCACTGGGTAGGCTGAGTCAGAGGTACTGCAAGAGGCCAGCCTGGAAGACATAGTAAAATCCAAAGAAACAAAGCCAACAGCAAAATCCCACAATTTTCTCTCACTTCTACTGCCACCAATTTGTGTGTGTGTGTGTGTGGGGGGGTGTTATTACTTCAGTTTAATCAGTGCTCTCCTAACTGGCCTTATGTTCTCCATTTACTCCACTTTACAAATCACTATTGCAAACATCAAGTATTGCTTCAGCTGCAAATGTGTGTGGGTCTTCAGCCTGCTGGGTGTAATTTTGTTTATTTTTTGAGGCAGTTTTCTCTGTGTAGCCCTGTCTGTCCTGAAACTCACTCTGTAGACCATGTCAGCCCTGAACTCAGAGATCTGCCTGCCTCTGCGGCAGATTAACAGGCGGGCACCACCACTGCCTGGCTGCATAGGCAATTGTTAAACCACTGCACTATACTCCAAGCCCCTACAATGCAACTTTTGATAGCTCTCTCCTCTACTCATGCTTAGTCCTTCCCTGGTTTCTCAACTTTGCATCTAGCAGCTCCATAGCCTGAATGGAACATGCTCTTCCTACTCCAAAGAGCCCAGGAAACCCCCAGTTTACCTCAGCTGCTGCTGTTGTTCATTCTGAACTCCTCGGGAAGTCTAGTATTCACTTACCACCGGATACCCTAGGTGTCATTGTTTCACCGGGCACCTACTGGAATGTAACTAGTGGCAAAGGTATTTCAATTATATTTCCATCTCCAGTAACGCCTGGCACAAGTCTTTCTCTTGCACGCAGGCTGGCAATTTCCATTTATTCTCTGGCCAGGTAGCAAGCAACTCTGACTACTCTTCGGTGTTTCCCGTAGAATACCCCATTTTGGACCTGCCCGAGGAAGCTCCAAGGAGAATACCAAGGGACTCCACAAGGAAGAAATCACATGGAGGGCCACACTGTTGACGCAGTAAAGGCGCCAGGCGTGGCAGGCACCGACCTACCTGCTCCAGCAGATAGATGAGCTGATCTCGAGCCAGCCTCTTGAGCATAGAGAAGTCAGGAAGCTCAGGGGCGTCCAGCCGATGGGGGAAAGCCATGGGAGCGGTCACCTGGGCCACCGTGTGAGAGTAGAATGATGTTCTCTGTTCTGAAAAGGCTGGCGACGGCCCAGGGTTAGCGCAGGCTGGTACCCTGCAAGCCTGAGCTCGGAGACCCAGGACCCCCGAGGGGCCCTCGCTCCTCTGCGGCACTACACGGATGAATGATGACCTCTCGGCCAGACCTCAGGGGACTCTCCTGGTAGGCCTGCAGCCACCGGGCCCCGCCCAACTCCACTGTGCCTGTCAGCAGGATTCCCAACTACATCCGCACAATCGGCATCGCACCAGGAGAACCCCGCCTCCGACCCAGAGAAAAGCGACTTCCTAGACCTCCCGGAAGTCTGGTTCTCCCGGCAGGCGCTTAGAGTACTGAGAGAGGACGGCGTCCGGAAAGGGACATTTGAAAACAGGAGTTGACGCGTTACCTTTTTTACAGGTGTACTTTATGTGTGTGTGCGCGTATGTCTGTGAATGCCTGCCGCGTGTGCAGGTGCCTGCAGAAACTAGAAGAGCTTACCATACCTCCTGAAGCTGCGGTACTGAGCTGCCAGCCGCGAGTGCCGGGACTGCTCTTGACAGCTTAGGAGCTCTCCAAACTCATTCGTGACTAGAGATTCGTTTTCCTTGGATAAAGAGATTATGCCTTGTTAATTGCTTATTCCTCAAACTCCAGATCCCAGGGAAGGATACAACTTTAATAATAGACTCGCCCTAACGGTGGTGGCGCACGCCTTTAATCCCAGCACTCGGGAGGCAGAGGCAGGGTCTTCAATGAGTTCAAGACCCATTCAAGCTGTAGTTCTAGTACAGCTGGTGATATAGAGACCCTATCTCTAAATAAATAACTAAATAAATGTTACAGTCAGCTACAAAAAGGAGAGCGGTCTCAAGCTTCGAGCTGCTTATTAGGTTTTGCCTCCTAAACCAATAGGAGAAGGGGATTATGCTAGACTGTGAATCCCCAAACAGCCTATGGGGAACAGAGGGCAGGACTTTCTCATGGTCAGTTTAAAAACTACCATCTTGCACCAAATCAGCATTCCAGCCATTTTTTTTTTTTTTTTTTTTTTGCCTGTCCTCTATGCTGGCATCACTGTCAGCAGAATGATACATTAATAACAGCTTCTTTTTTCCTAGTCTTTTGAATTTGTTACCTTACTTCCCAGGAAGAGTTAAAAAGACTTAAGGAACAAACCAACAAAATGTAGTGTTACTTGGCATGAATCCTGTTTGGGAAACAAACCAACTGGGAAAGCCACTTATAAAACAGTCTGGGTAAGTTTTTAAAAAGGCCTAAGCTCATACAGTGCTTTAGTTCATTTATGTTGGCGTCTGCCTGACCTCACACCATCCTCTCTGGTTTGATGTCTGCTGTTGCACTGAGGGATAGAGGTGCCCTGAGATGCCTTCACTCCCCTTGTTTCTTAAAGCAGCAAAGTATGCCTCTGTGGCACAACCATGCCCATTCTGCTGCAGTCTGCCAAGCCAAGTTGAGGTACCCACTCTTCATTACCAGTTTCTTCTTCCACCACCCATGACAACTATGCTAAGTGAAGTTCTACCCCATTCAGTGTGATGTTCTCAGTAGGGTTTTTTGTTTGGTTAGTTTTTTCTTTTTTCCAAGACAGGGTTTCTCTGTGTAGCTTTGGAGCCTATCCTGGCACTCGCTCTGTAGAACAGGCTGGCCTCAAGCTCACAGAGATTGGCCTGCCTCTGCCTCCCAAGTACTGGGACTATAGGTGTGAACCACCAACGTCCGGCCAGTGTGATGTTCATTGTGTCTTAAGAGGATGACCCTAAAAGAGGCACCCATGAAGTCCTATAACCACAGCTCAGTGGTACAATTGTATTCAGCCCCGCATTCCTGAGACAATAGAACACAGAAGGAAAGTCCATTTTGGAAGTTTATGTACCTTGGCTAAGATCTGGGTAAGTAGGATGGTAAACCTAAAAGTTGTTTACCACCACAATAGATTGTTAGGAAGTCCATCAGTCATACCTTCACTTAACCAGTACAGTAGTAGTCAGGAACTTAACCAATATGTTAGTAGTTGAGAACATAGCGATAAACACACAGGTCTCTTGCCTTCGTGGAGTCTTCATTCAAAGCGAGGGAAGATGAAGGATAACGGTATTAATTTCCCAAAAGGCAGAAAATAAGGGTAGGGTCACAGAACATGAAGAGACCTGTGTAGTCACTGTATCTAGAGTAACAGTTTCATGTATTAGTGTTTGTTGAAGGTACCTGCACCTTGAAGAAATGATGTAGAGAACAGATTGTTTTCTATGAGTTGTAGTTGTATTTCTGAAGGTTGTCCATCCATTGTATATCTTTGGTCACAAGACTATGAAGGCACACTTGGAGGTCTTGTATTATTGGATACTGCAGACAGTACACAATAGGACTAAAGGTTGTGAGGGTGTGATGATTTCCTTCAGGTAACATACAGGATAAATCAAAGGGGCTTTTGACATGAGGAACATGTTGTACCCCAAACACATCCTTTGTGTACAGCCAATAAATGTGTTTCTAAACAGAGGTTTAGGGTTCAGTTTTCAGAAACTGTTTCTCCTGCTGCCAAAGAGCCTAAATTACATTCTGGGATGACTCTCCTTCAAACAGCAGGCGCAACACAGAAAACTTGACAGATCTGCTTTAAACTGGGTGGCTAGGGAAGCCTCTAGGGAAATGCCCAACTGGGATGTCCATGTTTTAAGTGACATTAACATAACTTCAGTGACATTAACACCAGTTTTAGCTAACAAGGTGTTAAAATGAGACATAGGTGAAAAGTGTTGCTAGATTCTTTGGGTTGACCTTCTCATTTTCTATTAGCATTTTTTTTAATGTTAACTCCTAAAACAACCATTTATTACACCATATAGCACTCTATTGCTAGAATTTTAAAGAAGACAACTGCCATTTATAAATAGCCATGTTAGGGTCTGTTCATTTGTACAAGGGCTAAGTTGCTATATACATACTTAGCGTCTTTAGGAAAAACCTGACATGGATTGGAATATCAAATACAGTTTAACTTTAGCATATAGTTTGGGGGACTATGTTAGGGACTCCAAGCCTTTAACCGCTAGAGTTTAACAACTTTGTTTCAGAACTGCTGTTTTTTCCCATTCCAAAATCGTTTTCAGAACCCCAGCAATTCAAAGATGCCCAAGGTTTGGTTGCCATGGGAGCTGGTGGTATGGCTCAGCAGGTGCAGGCACTTGCTGCCAATCTGAGTTATATTTCCAGGACAGGCATGGTGGACAAAAAACCAATTGCTACAAGTTGTCTTACAACATTTACACTATGGCACATGTACAAAATCTAATCTTAAAACTTTAAAAAACAATTTATCACTGGGGGAGTGCCTATGCACAGAAGCCTTGGGATTCTTCGGTGCCATCTGCCAAAATTTAATGACAAAGAATACTTTTCCTTTCCACCTTTTCTAGTCCACCACTCTCCAAAGTTCACAAGAAATTTTACCCAAGAGAACACCAAGCAACAAACTACTAGATTTTACTTTATTTTGCACATAAAGAAACCAATTCAAGAACAGTTAGTATTCAGTGATCAAGAAGGGAATGAGGTCAGGAGGCAAGCTTTCCATTTACTCCCAACACTGTAACACAGAAATTGATGACACAATCACATGTAATACTTGTTCTCAACAGAGAGACCAAGCAACAAGGATGAATGAGATTTAGAGCCACAGGGTTCCAATGAGGCTTACTTCAGAAGTCTGACTCTAGCCAAATAGCTCCTCCACCCACATCCTAGCCTTGATTCTTCCAAAGCAGCCGATCATATGCAGAAATGTTGGCAACTTCAAATCTACTTGCCCAGCTGTGTCACAGCATCTCGAAAAGCCAGGCCCAGACTCAAATTCTGTAGAGGAAGTTCCCATTGCTGTCAAAGAACTCACGCCCCCTCTGTACTACTTTGCTGCTGAAGTTCTGGTCACCTGGCTCCCCAGCCTTCAACTCTTCCAGCTTCTCAACACTTAGCAACCTATCCCTGTCAGCTCTTTGGGTGACTTTAGAATCACTGGTGGTGTGTTTCTGAAGCTCTCTCTGATGACCCACGGCTGCAGTGGTAAGCACAAAGCTTTCTTCCAAACCTTGGATTCTTTTAGTCCTTTCTTCCCGTCTCTTCTGTGCAGCTGTGCTGTGAGTGTCTGACCCTAGTACTTTTAACAATGTGCTCTGATTCTGGCTATTAGATGACACTTCACCTCCTGGCAGCAGCAGTGGGTCAGATACAGAATGGCCTGCACTGAGTGGCTTCACAGGATCTCCAGAAACCCCTCCAGTAAACCCAGCTTTTTTCAAGACCTTCTGATCCTGCTTCAGTTTCTGCTCCAACGTGGGTACAAACTTACTTTTTAAAACCCTTCTGATAACATCGGTGCTGACATCAAAGCCTTCTGCCAACCTGGGAACTGACCAGGACTCTGCAAATTCCTTACGTAAATACCTGTGAGGAAAAACAGCAGTTTTTCACATTGCAAATAAGTCTCCTATGACAAGAGCTAAAGTGATAATGCTAGTGACAAGTAGTAAAAAGAGAGCTTGGGGAAACCCAAATGCAGTCCTCAGACTGTGCCAACTAATTCTGTACCTGTGTACAAATAGCAATGTCTGGCCACTCTTCATCAGGACAGTTCACAACAATAGCTACCAACTGCTGTCTACTGATAGAGATGTTAGGTCCTGATAATGGAGGACTAACCTTCACTTCAAGATTATACAGGTTGGTGGTAGATATGCCACAAAACAACTAAGCACTACAGCAAAAGATGCAGTTAGTGCACCCAGAGGGAGACCCAGGACAGGCAAGTCTGCCACTTGCAGTCTGACTCAGGAATGCCTGAGGAGTCCAAGAAAGAGATGATCTAAAAGGATAAAGAGTAAGTAAGCTGGAGAAAAACAAAGATACTGCTTGTAGAGCACGAAGCTCATAACTCTGCATCAGGAAATAGTCCAACTGACAGCTCACTGTCATAAGCAAGATGATGAGCGGTAAAGAGCAAGAACAGGAAGCTGACACTTACTTCTGAATCTGTTTTTGTGATGAAGCTAAAGGACATTTATGGACTGGATCTGACAGGTAGAAAGCTGGAAGGCTGGCTAAAAGCTATTCTCCAAAGTGCTAGAAAAGGCAGTAATGGAGGCACATATTTTTAATCCCAGCACTCCGGAGGCAGAAGCAAGTAAATCTCTGTGAGTTTGAGGCCATCCAGGGCTACATAGTCAGACCTTGTCTCCAAAGGAAAAAAGAGAGACAGAATAAAGTGTCGAGGGCTATACTTCAGTGGCAGAATACTTACCAGCATACTAGCTTGTTTGAGGCTCTGAACAGGATTCCCAGAACCTTGGGGATGGGAAATACAGTACAATTTCCTGGTATTACAGGAGATAGTACCAACAAAATTTTGACCAGCTCTACAAAATTCTCTTTGTTAATTAGACTTTCCTCACAGAAATGGAAAAAGGTGTATAGTCAATATAGGGCTACTTGGCAATATTTATCATAATGCAAATATATTACTTCCAGAAGATATGCTGCATACTACACATACAAAGCTGTTTACTGGAGAACTTTTAAAATTCTTTTGGTTTTTAGAGACAGGATTTCTTTGTATAGTCCTGGCTGTCCTTGAACTCAGAGACCTGCCACCACCCCAGCTTGGAGAACTCTTTATAAGGGAAAGAACAAAAAGAATTTAAACACCTATCACAGAAGACAGGTTCACTGTGCACCTATATAAAAGAATTAAATAGTACTTTTTTTCTCCAGGTCAGGAAGGGAAGGTGGATGATTCTTGGGATTGAACCAGGGCCTCATGCATACTAGGTAAATGTTCTGAGCTCCACCCTAGCCCAGGAGCTACTAAAATCCCAGTACTTGCCTGGCAGAGGCAGAGACAGAGGCAGAGGCAGGTGGACTGCCAAGAATTCCAGGCTACCCCGGTCTACATAGTAACCCTGTCCAAAAAAACCAAACAAACCAACAACAACAACAAAAATTCCAAGGAGTTGGCACATACCTATAATCTCACATACAGCATTCAGGAGGATAAGGAGTTCAAGACGGTTGATTACAGGGTACTGGAGGCCAGCCTGGGCTGCATGAGACTGTCAGGAAGAAAAGTTCCTCCTAATACTTTTAAATTATAGTTCTCTTCCAAAAAACCAATGCACATAAGCATGGAAAATTACATTTCACCATCTCAGGAGGAGAACATCACATTCTATTCAGATCTTAGGTATTTGGGCCTTCATAAATACTAATATTTTTACAAAACAAAAACCACCAACTAACTTTCCATAATGGTAACATACTAAACCCAGACTGGGGATATAGTTCAGAGGTAATACCCTTGGCAGACCATAAGCATCGAAGCCCCCCGCCCGAAAAAATCTAGATAGGTCTAACAAGTTCCTTTTTATGACATTTTCCGTTTAAAAGGCGACAAAATTAAAGTCCTTAAAAAGAAATCCTAGACGGGCAGTAGTGGCACAGGCCTTTAATCCCAGCACTAGAGAGGAAGAGACAGGCGGATCTTTGTGAGTTCTCGGCCAGCCTGGTCTACAAAGTGAGTTCCTGGACAGCCAGGGCTACCCAGAGAAACCCTGTCTGGAAAAACTAAAAATAGATCCATAGATAGATAAATCGATAGATAGATAAGATAGATAGAAAGCCCCATTTTGAAAACAATGTCTTACCGGATCTGCTCTATGGCTTCCCATGTCAGTGTTCTGGGTGGAGCACCTGGAGCCTCCATTTGCCTTCGAATTTTCTGGAATTTCATTGCTTTTTTCTGCCGTTTCAGAGTGCTGGGGGAAAGAACCAATGGCAGAAGCCATGCGTGGTGGAAGCAAGATGGATGTTTAAAGAGTCTCGGACTAAATCACGGAGAGCCCAGCCCTCTTGTTTGCCCACAAAGGCAGCCCGGCCGGCCGTGTCTGCCAGGTTAAAGCACACTCTGTGCACCGCCCCAGAAATCTAACACCTACACCACCGGGCCGCACTCTTTAAACCGGTGATGAAACACGCCACTAGCGAAGAGACCTGGGGTCCCAAGGGGGCTGACCACTTGCCCCTGCGCCCTCGACAAAGGGTGAGAAGAAACTGGCGCCTCTGCGGACGCGGCGGCAGGACGCCCGGAGCTGGGGGCGGGAGACCTAGCTTTAGGCTGAGGGCCCGCTAAGGAGCCGGTACCTCTCCACCTCCTGGAGCGCCCGCTCCTCCGGCTCCCAGTCGGAATCGGGGTCCGGCTCGCGGCCCACGAGGCCAGGGCCCCCCACGCCCTGGGTCGCGAACCCACAGCGAGCAACAGCGGCGCGGACACGACCGCCAAACAAGAGGCTCAGGGTAAGCGCCATTGCAACCCAAGACGCTCCTCGGCAGCTAGCGTCCGGAAAGCACCGGAAGCGGGAGGGCGGACCCGGAAGCAGAATGGGGAACCGGAAGTTGGGCGGGATCAGGCGCCTTCAGTTTACTAGGTGGGCGGCAGGTGCCCATGTACAGTTGCCCACCCTTTTCCTGCTTGCTTTGTTTTTGCGGTGATGGGGAGCCAAGCCAGGTACTCGAACATGCTAGGCAAGCTCCTGGCACTGAGTTATCTCCCTAGCCATTAAAAAAAAAGCAAAACATCTTTTGAGACTGAATTGTCCTAGCCGTGCATTATCACCTTGCCTCAGTTTCCCGGGTAACCGGGATTACGGGCCGAAGCCACCGCACTGGGCTTCCCTACTGTAACTGTAAGAAGAACTTGCCTCAGACGCGAGGATCGAAAGGAGGTACAGGACGCGCCTGGAAAACGACATAAACTTTAATAAAAAGACTGGTTCGTTGCCCAGAGCCGCCCCTCTGGCACAGGCTGCCCAGGCCTGCCTGATTCTGCCACTGTGGCAGGAAGGGCGAACCCTCAGCAATCTTCTGATGGCGACTACACCGTACCTTGGGCATTTGACTCCACTGGGAAAGGAACTCCTTTTGCCCAGTGACCTCCAGCCCCAGGCTACACCCAGGGTTCAGACCCATCGCTTAGCGATAAACCCAGCCTAAGGCTTGATGAGCAGAGATTCATAAATTCTGGCCTTAGCTCTTCATCTTTTGGTCTTTACCGATCCCCCAAAGAATCTTAGAATGTTGAACATTTCTTGGTGTCTTTGTATTTTGCCTTTTGCAAACAAAGGTCCTGGCCAGAGCTTTTCAAACTGGAACTTGGTGGCAGTCTTTCAGTTAGCAATGATTGAAGGCCATTTGCTCTTTTGGTTGAGTGCTGGGCTTCCTTCTTTACCTGTGTTGGATGATGTTGAGGAGTGGGCTGGAATGCTGCAGCACTGGTGCAGAGGCAGGGCATAGGGTGAGATCCCCAGCCTTGGCTCCTTTGTGTTCAGAATTTACCATGGAGGGCAAGGTGCAGCATTCAGTCCATGAGTCCTGTCTTTCGGGCTGCAGAAGATAGCCCTGTTTTGGGGTTAAAGTGGGTGGCACTGATCCTGACAGGGCTCGGTTTATGGCTTCTAGCCTTCTGCTGGCTTGGCCTTCTGCAGTAGAAACATGGATTCCCCACTAAGTTGTGGTACTCACAGAAGAGGTGTCCTCACCTCTTTCCCAACTGTGGTCCAATTACACAGAAGAGTGGCATCCCATGCCCCCTCCAGCATCTTTACCACACTGTATTTTAATTAGTCTGTTGCATGTCCATTTCCCTGTTAACCTTTGTTGAGGGCTGGGACTGTTTCTGCCATGTCTATCGCCAGGGTCACTACATAGGAAGAGGTAAATAAAGGGGTCCAGTGCCTTCCACCATCACTACACTACCAGGAGTACCACTTTATATCTCAGGAGTATCCCAGCTCTAATAGTTGCTACTGGAAATTTGCACCAGTCAGAGTGACCAAAGCTAGTTTTGTATACTTACGGCTAGTGAGCCTGACTCTAGAGCTGGAAAAATAGTGCCTCCCAGATTTCTTCATTGACAATGAACAGGGGCCAGTGATTGCTGGATCTCCTATCCAGTTGAAGGTCTTGGGCTGCAGATGGTACCGGGAATGCTGTGCAACTGCGGGATTCATGCTTGATAGTGGCCCTAAGATCCTGGGGATCAATTCGTGGGGTCGAAGTGGTTGCAGGAAATGAGGGACCTGTTCTGAGGCAGCCCCTCTCAGGAACACCAATGGGACCAAATTCACAGGTTGCAGTTCTTGACTGCCCAGCCCGTCCTGGTGAAATCTAGGCTAGAGGAGAAGAGCAGCCCCTTGTATTTCTTGTGAGGCTGGATAGAGTGTTGGAAGAAACATGTAACTGAAAAATAGAACAATCTCTTCTAGGCCATAGCCACTGTTTAACTAGTTATTCTTTTGGGGTTCAACAAAAACATAGGGCCCAACAGGTTCATTACTATCCCAGGGAATAGTGAAAACGGCAGCTGTTTTATTGGCCCAAGACTGTTTACTTAGTTCCCATTAGAACCGGGGCATTGGCAATGCTAGGAAGATTACACAGAAGCCACTGAGCATGGTGGTGGCCTTGTTATTTGTCAGTCATAAGTTGTGGGTTACTGTGAAACAAGAATAGAGAGAGAGAGAGAGAGAAAGTCTCTTGCATTTGAGAAAGATGGGAGCTGCACTTTGCTGGGCTGCAATACCAAACCCAAGGGAGCTTGGGAGCAGACATCATGGAACCAACAGACCCTCTCCCAGGCTCCAGTGGCAGATACCATCACATAAACCTCCTTTGATGTAACCACAACCATGTGTTGGTATCACAACCCTTGTTCCCTGTTTTTGTGAGAGGCTTCTCGGGGACCCTCACCCGATACTCATGAAGCTTTCTGTGGCCCCGGTGGCTGGGGTACAACATGCGAGTGAGCTGCTCTACAATACCCAGGCTTCGGATGAGATTCTCTCTTTGTAACAGGAGCTTCATCCGCTCAAGCTCTTCCTCTTCCACAATGTCCTGAGGCTGCATGGTGTCCAGGATTACTGGTAGCTGCCACAAGGCACAGGAGAGATAACAGGATGTCCAAGATGAGGCTCACATCATCAGCAAGGATGGCTGCAGGACGCATGCCCCCACTCTACTGCCTTCCCTCCCCAGACCCCACTGTAAGGTTCCCTTAGCTGTCCTTTCTCTCACCTTCTGTTCCAAAAGGTCAGATTCAATTTAACTAGTTAGACTCATCTCTCTCAAGCAAGGAGATGACAGGACAGCAGCGATTCCCTTCTCTAGTAGCCCCAATTTAGTTAGTTTCATGTGAAAAGATAAGAGCCACAGCCCCTGACACCTCTTTATCCCGGATCCGGTTCCTATAAGCCAAGTTGGTGACAAGGCTCCGTGTTCCTGCTCTGGATCGGCTTTTCTCCCCAGCTGATTCACCCTGGTTCTGCTCCTTGTTTTCCTTTCGCTTCTTGGTGCCTGGGTTCTCCTGTTGTTCCTGCTTTAGGCGAATCTCTTCCAGTTGCTGCCTGACAAGACACAGCAGTTTCAGACACTGGAGAGACTGTGTGGGGAGAAGGGGGTGGGTGAGGGAAAACAGGGCTAATATGAGGAAATCACGATGTGTTGTTGGAACTGATGAGAAGGAATGAATGAGAGTATAGGGAACACACTAAAGGAAAGACTCATTAAGAATCTGTTAGTGAGCTGGGCATTGGTGGTGCAAGCCTTTAATCCCAGCACTTGGGAGGCAAAGGCAGGCAGATCTCTGTGAGTTCGAGGCCAGCCTGGTCTCCAGAGCGAGTGCCAGGATAGACCCCAAAGCTACCAAGAGAAACCCTGTCTCCAAAAACCAAAAAAAAAAAAAAAAAAGAATCTGTTAGTGGACTGGGATGAAGCTCAGGCAGTAAAGTCCTTGACCTGAAAGCATGAGAACCTGAGTTCAAGCCTCAAAACCTGTGTTTAAAAAAAAAAAAAAAAGCCAGGTGTGGTAGCACACACTTGTATCTCAGCACTGGAGAGGCAAAAATAGGCAGGTCCCTGGGACTCTTGCTGGCCAGCTAGACTAGCCTACTTGTAGTGAGTTTCAGGCCAAAAAATAAAGTGGGCCAGAAATAGTGGTACACACTTTTAGTCTCAGCATTTGGGAAGCACAGGCAGGCAGATTCTCTATACATTTCAGGTCAGCCTCATCTATATAGCAGGTTCCAGGCCAGCCAAAGCTATATATTGAGACCCAGTTTCAAAAACAAAACACTTGCTGGGCGTTGTTGGTGCACACCTTTAGTTCCAGCACTCGGGAGGCAGAGGTGGGCAGATCTCTGTAAGTTCAAAGCCAGCCTGGTCTCCAGAGTGAGTGCCAGGATAGGCTCCAAAGCTACACAGAGAAACCCTGTCTCAAAAAACAAACAAAAAAAAACAAAAAAACAAAAAACAAAACACTTAAAAATAATAATTCTAATAAAGGATAAAGACATAATGGGACTGGCAAAATGGCTCAGCTGGTTGGTAAAGGTGCTTACCACCAAACATGACCACCTGAGTTCATTTGCTGGAAACCCCATGGTGGAAGGTGACAATTGACTACTGGAGGCTCTTTTGACTTCCACATGTGCACCATGGTAGACAAACACACACAAATTAGTAAATGTAATCTTTACATATGTAAAAACGCACAAACCAGATAGAGAGCAAGTCCAAGGTTGTCCTCTGGCCTCCACATGCATATATGTGCACAAATGCATTCCATACATACACATCATACATTCAAGTGAAGGCATGTATGTATGTGCCTGGACACAAAGAGAACCTGTTAGAATTTTTGCTCTATTTCCCCTTCCTCAAGTGTGTGGCTTCCTCTTCCCCTGCTAGGGAGCAATTCAACTTCAGGATTTGCCCTTAACCCACCTGTACAAAGGGAAATGCAGCTAAGGTACCTGGCACACTCCTCTCTGGCCTTGGAGGCAGCAGTCTCCTGGAAGAGGGAGCCATTGTGCTTGAAGAAGGGTGCATATTTCTCTGAGTCAGGCCCAGGGTAGATCCGCCGGTAGCCCCCTAAGTGGGAATCTTCATATCGTTCTTGGTCCTGCATGGCAGCCTGGGATGATTCAATCTGTTCTCGCCTATAGAAACCAAGCTCGGGGAAGTCAGAGGAGGACTGTGAGAATGTTCCAGAAGGAAAAAATACTGGCTAAGGTTTTCAGACCCTCCTACTGACTGTCTGGTCTCCCTGCCTCCTACCTATGTAGGGAAGCATCCAAGCTCACGGCCAGCCCCACCATGTGCATAATCATAAATTAGGTGTGGTTTCCAGAATTCTGATTCTCAACCTAAGTACAAAGTGATCTATTCATAAGCAAACAATTTAGTTACCACTAAATTGTTTTGGGTTCCCACAGAAACAGGAGGAGAGACAGTTTTCTTTAAGAGTGTGACTCCTAGGCAGAGGCAGGCGGATCTCTGTGAGTTCGAGGCCAGCCTGGTCTACAGAGTGAGTTCCAGGACAGGCTTCAAAGCTCAACAGAGAAACCCTGTCTTGAAAAACAAAAAAAAAAAAAAAAAAAATTTTAAAAAAGTGTGACTCCTGGTAAGTCTTTTGGGTTCCCACAGAAAATGTAAAAGAAAAAGATTAAACCAGTTGTGCTCCAGGCTTATAATCCTAACACTGGGAAGGCATCGGCAGGAGAAGCTAGAGTCCAAATCCATCCCTAGCCCCATAGTCCCACCTCAAAATTGTCATAAACCATGAAATGAATCATCTTTTAACCCTAGCTCCTTAGTGAGATCAAGGCCAGCTAGCTAGCCTCATGCTTATTGCTGTGAGGAACACAATTCATTCCGAGACTGTAAAAAAGAAAACCCCTCGTGTTTTTAATATTTGTTTGGCCATTTACTTGAGACAAGATCTTGCTAAATTGCTCAAGCTAGCCTTGACCTTATGATTCTCCAGAATCTACCTCCTAAGCGCTGGGGTGATAGTCCTACACCATGACACCAGGTAGTTCCCACACATTTTCCCCACTGAAAGACATGATTCAGTCAGATGTGCCTGTCACCAGACTTTTGGGATTATTCAGGGTGCTTACTATTATCCTTCACCCCCATTCATCACACAGACATTTGAATGCCTGCCATGTGCCAGTCACTATGGTCATTTCAAGGAATCAAATACACTTTGTCTCTGTATATCAAAATGCAAATAGAGAAGTACAATACTATTCTCCAGATTAATTCAATTCAATTTTATGTCTCATTAACAAGTTATAATTTCAGTATTAGCAACCAGCTGTCATGTTTGTAACCTATTTTATGGTGAAAATAATGTGTGACAAAGAATAACTCAGTTTCAAAACAACTGAACTGTTTCCTATGTGTCATTATTGCAAGGATTCTCAGGAATTGGTTTCTAGATGAGCGTTGGTAGACAACAGATCAGTTCCCCTCAAGGCTCAGGCACCTTTGTGGAAGCCAGAGGGAGAACTGGAGCAAATGAAGTATCTTCTGGACCTAACAGAACCGATGCTCCCATGAGCTCACAGCACAAGATCTGCACAAAACCAATGCAGTCAACATTCCAGTTGAGCAGGGAGGGACTCACAAACCCCCAGCCCTGGATGAGAAACTACTGACATTTGATGGCTTCCAGGAGGAGAGACAGTTTTCTTTAAGAGTGTGACTCCTAGGCAGAGGCAGGCAGATCTCTGTGAGTTCGAGGCCAGCCTGGTCTACAGAGTGAGTTCCAGGACAGGCTTCAAAGCTACACAGAGAAACCCTGTCTTGACAAACAAAAAAAAAAAAAAAAAAAAAAAAAAAAAAATTTTTTAAAAAAGTGTGACTCCTGGTAAGTAAACAAAACTTCAGTGGATAACCCCACTCCCAACAAGTATATAGACAAACACAAATCAGACCCAGTGGGTCATTTTTATTTAAAAAAAAAAAAAACAAGATGGACTGGAAAGATAGCTCAGCAGTTAAGAGCGCTGGCAGTTCTTCCAAAGGTCCTGAGTTCAATTCCCAGAAACCACATGATGGCTCACAACCATTTACAGTGGGATCTGATGCCCTCTTCTGGCATGAAGATAGAACACTCATATACATAAAATAAATAATATTAAAAAAAAAGAAAAGAAATTAGGAGGGTGGATCTAGGAGAAGTTAAGGGTTGCAGTGAGGGGTGAATTTGATCATATATATTGTATGTGTGTATGAAATTCTGAAGAATAAATAAAAATAGTAAACAACTGGGAGTTATGGTGCATCATAGTTTAAGGCCTCCCTGGGCTAGCTGAGCTACTGTACATAGCAAGAATGCATATCAGAAAATAGTAACAGAACAAACAATCCCACACCAGATAATCACACTATGTAAAGTACAGCCCCACACCAGCCAATCATACTATATAAAGTTCCTTATGTGCCTGGTGAAGAAACCTACAGAGTGTTACTTATTTAACCGTCTGGGGAGACAAGAAAATATTTTGTATAAACACATTTAGACTTTTAAAGATATTTATTTCTACATGTATGGATGTTTTGCTTGCCTGTATGACTGTGCACCATGTATGTGCAGTGTCCACAAAGGGAGGGGGCAGATCCTCTAGGACTGGAGTTACAGATGATTTTAAGCCACCATGTGGGCTCTAGGAATTGAACACAGGTCCTTTGGAACAGCAGTCAGTGCTCTTAACCACTGAGCCATCTCTCCAGCCCTACATCTAGACTTTTAAATGCTTGTACAAGTATAAACATTACAGTAGTAACATGGGTCAGCTGAAAACTGATTTGCTGAAGGAGAGGAGCATGAAAAAGGCTACTCAATGTGTTTTTAAGAAATGTGTCTCTGGCCGGCTATTGGTGGCTCACGCCTTTAATCCCAGTACTTGGGAGGCAGAGGCAGGTGGATCTCTGTGAGTTTGAGGCCAGCCTGGTCTCCAGAGTGAGTGCCAGGATAGGCTCCAAAAGCTACACAGAGAAACCCTGTCTCGAAAAACCAAAAAAAAAAAAAAATGTCTTTGCAATATGTAGTATATAATCTATGCAAAAAAAGTTTTTAAAAGCTAACAGCTCTTTGTGGCCTTCTCCTTCTCTCAGAAAAGTAATAACAAAGAAGTTGCACAACTAAACACCTACCAGGAACTGAAAGGTGGCTCAATGGGTGATGGCGTTTGCTGCCAAGCCTAAGGGCCTGAGTTCAATTCCCATGACCCAAAATGGTGGAAGGAAAGAACCAACTACCACAGGTCTGGCATAGCACAGTACAGACACACACACACACACACACACACACACACACACACACACAGTACTATATTAACTTAAAAGTAAATGAATTGGACATAGTGATGCATACCTTTAGTTCCAGAAACTGGGAGGCAGAGGCAGGCAGATCTCTGGGAGTTTGAGACTGACCTGGTCTACATATCTCATTCCATGCCAGGCACGGACATGTCTCAGATAAACAAATATCTATCAGATACGGGGCACACCTGGCTTCTCGTGGTTGTTGGTGACACGGGAAAAGCCTCTCCTTGACTCGCCGTTTGTCTTCTTCAATCACCTTTTTTTTGTCACAGCCCCGAAGGTTGACAAGGTTCATAGCATCACAGAGAAGTGCATCTTTGACCTCTCGATCCAGGCGGGAGTCTGTGGTGAAGCTTGGGGAGTGGTTTACCTGCCAAGAGGAGTCCTTATTGCCCCTTTCCTAGACCACCTGAGCAGGTGGTGGTCTCTGGCAGGTGTTATGGGGGCCTGGGGAGGAACAGCTCCCTCCTGTGGCCTGAGCCAACAACTGGGAAGACATCTGACCCATCCATGGGCTAGTGGGGGAAAAAAAGACAACTTGACTACAGACACAGGGTCCTGAAGGGCAAGACTCACTCAAGAAGCACTTGGTAATCCTGAACAGATTGCTATACTTGTTTGCTGGCTTGCTTTTCTTAGCTTCTTGAGACTGGGTCTCATAGAATCCAGGCTAGTTTCAGATTCACTATGTAGCTGACGCTAATTCTGAAGCTATGACTTTCCTTCCTTCAGTTCTCAAGTACTGTGCCAACCACTTGTGTAGAGGTCAAAGACTCCCAGTGTTTGTCTCAGCAAATGATAGAACCCTTATGCTTTCACCTGGTTCTTGCCCACCCTGAGACTTCTACCTCGCCCCCCCTCCCCGCATCCTCCCTATTCTACCATGTAAGTGCATTTCTTCCAGGGCGAGGCCTCTGACTTCGGCCTTGGCAAGTTGAGGAAAGAAATCTTACCTCTAGAAGCCAGGGCTTGAGCTTGTGGTCCAGTAAGATGTCAAAACCCAGAATCTCAAAGCAGGCACATGTACCTCCACACAGATATTGGGGGAAACAGGTTCGGTAGTTGTGGCGAAGAACAGAGTGGGCTGAGATGATGGTTTTGATGATGATGTCCTCGATGTCCCCCCACAGCTCTCGGGGATCATAGCTGTGCTCTCGCAGCCAGGCATTGAGTGTCGACAGCTTCCTATGAGGCCCAGTGCTCAGAGGAAGAGCAATTTCCATGCCAGCAGGGTCTGGCTACAGGCAGGAGGCTCCCTGATGTTAACCCCAATTCCATGTCTGGGACCCTGGACTTCAAAGGGCTGCTAGCAGCTGGGAGCTGGGATTGGTTCTTAGGGCTGTAGGTTGTCGAGTCTGCACTTAGAGCTCAGACACAGGACTAGGGTCTTCAAAAGCAGAGGTTCCTGAGAAATGAGCTTCCCAAGAGACAGTTTGGTTTCATGGGACTCCTGAGACTGTGGAACTAAAGGCAGAGGAAGCAAGGGAAAACAGAATAGGGGATACCTCTTACTGCCCATTGCATCGTCTCGGACAAAATTCTCATTGTGTTTATTGATTGCATAGTTGGTCAGGTGCATGCAGACTTCCTCCTGTGAAGTGAATGGACCTGTATTGGCTCGTGCTGCCTCTGTGTAGCCTCTCCAGGCCTTCAGTGCCTTCTTATTACCCACTGCCCTGCCCCAAGATGGCTCATCTCCTAGCTCTCTTCACCAGGGACTGTCTGTCCTGTATGATCCTGGGAAAGAGGCTGTGCTGGGGAGCTCCAGAAAGAACCTTTTCTCGCTCACCACCCAGCAAGGTGCTATGGTTCTTACTGGCTTCCTTCCTTGGTCATAGCAGGCAATGATAAACTTTTCTACCATGCTTGTCCCTAGAACCAAAGCACTCATGGCAATGGAGGAGAAGAGGGGGGCCACCCTGCCTCCTCACCAGGTTGTTATGGCTAGGTTCCACATACGGCATGGTGGCAAAACGGGCCAGGCCTTCCTCATACATGAAGATCCGGAGAGGGTCACAGGAAGTGATCAGAACATAGATTCGCATGTCAAACTTGAAGCCATCAATGAGGAAGGGCTAAGAGCATGCAAACCCAGAGGGAATACTAATGAACTTCTGAAGTGCTTATTACATGCAATATATGGTTATTACAAGAGCTTCCATACATAACACTAAATCCTCACAACAATCATATAAAGAAGTTACTGTTGTTATTCTCATTTAACAGTGAGGAAACAGCGCCAAGGAAAGGGCCAGATAACTGCCCAAGTTGTTATGTCTGGGAAGTGGGATGACTGCGAGTCAAACCCAGGCTGGCTAGCTCAGAACAATGGCTATAGTCTGTAAGGTAAAAGGGATAGCAGAGAGGGCAGGAGCCAATACTTGACTTCTGCCCTAATGTACAAGGGATAAGGCATGCCAGTGTGGGGAAAGGCCTGGGGGTTCCGAGGTGGCCTTCACCTTGGTGATGTACTGCTGGCAGATCATATGCTCTCCTGGCTTGATTTCCTTGGGGGTTCTGGTGATAAAGATGCCACGCCCCTGACAGCCGCTATCTGGCTTGCAGATATAAGTGCGGGTTTTCCGCTGACGACCGTAGGCCTGGAAGTCCCCATAGCTACATGCAGAGAGAGGCTGGTCAAAGGGTTTCTGTGCATCTTGACTGCCTTGGAACCCCCATGGCCATCTTGTTATCTATTTCCATGGTCTTCTTGGAGCACTTAGCCTTGGACCCACTTTTGCTTTGGCCAGCAGAAACTTTTCTTTTTTAAGACAGTCTCTCTTTGCAGCCACGGCTAGCCTGTACTTGCTATGTAGATCAGGCTGCCCTCAAATTTATGGAAATCCGCCTGCCTCTGCCTCCCGAGTACTCTGATTAAAGGCGTGTGCCACCACTGAATCTTTCTTGGTCCAGTTCCAACCCTCTTAAACATGTCTGGGTCGCAAGATCACAGGGAGTGACTCCTCATCCTGCCCCCAGTACTCAGTTCACTCACTCTGCAGGTAGACACCAGGTTCGTGGGAAGATGTTGTACTCAGTAGGATAGAGCTTCTGCATGCGATTGAGGTTCCGAGCCAGCAGATCTTTGCGGCAGATTTCTGTCATGCCAGGGAAGTGGTTGATTTTCTGAAACACAGTCAGTTGGTTACACTGCTCCACTGTAGCATGTGGCAGTTCCTAGGACTTGGGCATCCCTTGAAACCACAGAAAAGGGACTGGGAAGGAAAGAAAGAAGTCCCAGTGGAGAGTAGCACTGCATCTAGTCAGCAAGGGTGAAACAGGAAGTTTCCATAATGCAGGGAGGAAGTCACTCCATGGTCTCCCCAGGACACATCTCCAACAAGGCTGAGAACGGAAGGGCAGCTGGATAAGTGTAGACTAGCCAGGACCTTGTGCTCTCCAGCCACCTCCTCACCCAGCCCACCTTCTCTTGGTCCATCAGAATACTGATGCTGTCTGGAGATAAAGCTCTGTGATGGAGCATTTCAATAGTAGGCAGGAGGCCCTAGGTTCAATTCTCAGCAAAACACACACACACACACACACACACACACTTACTTTTAATAGAAGAATAATGATACATGATAGCACAGAGAAATAGTAAGAATCACATTTCCTTGAAGACACAAAGGAGACAAAGAAACTAAGAAGACTGTAGGGAATGCATGCCACAGCACCCAGAGACCGTATGGCATGAGAAGGTATCTGTGGGAGGCCCTTAGCTGGTCTACTCTGCAGGGATGGAAGACAAACGCATACGACAGCTGAGTGCATTCAGCTGACCTCCTCAATCACTAGCTGTGTGAATTCTGTGTTCTGAAACTTCCTGTCCTCTTTTTTTAACAAACTGCTGTCTGCCACTCAGGGATGTTAAGGATTTAGTGAAGAAGCAATATAAAAACACCTAGCAGCTCAGGAGGCAGAGACAGGTGGATCTCTGTGAGTTCTAGACCAGCCTGGTCTACAGAGTGAGTTCCAGGACAGCCTCCAAAGCAATACAGAGAAACCCTGTCTGGAAAAAACTAAAACAAACCAAAACAAAAAACAAAACAAAACAACAACAACAAAAACACCTAACAGTATCTGACCAATACACAGGAATCCCTTGGTAAAACCTATTAATTACTGTTAATTAGTGCTCCTCTTCTGACAGCTGCTCCCCATATACCCCTTCTTTGTAGCTTCTCCAGCATCTATAGCAGTTGCTCTCTGCTAGCTTCCTTCCTTAAGACAAGGTTAGGAGCTGTCGATGGTGCACACACCTTTAATCCCAGCACTCAGAAGGCAGAGGCAGGCAGATCTCTCTGAGTTCAAGGCCAGCCTGGTCTAAAGTGCAAGTTCCAGGACAGGCTCCAAAGCTATAGAGAAACCCTGTCTCAAAAACAAACACAAACAAACAAAAGACAAGATTAGGACAAGTTAGAGTATCCTGGACTCCCTTGCTGGATTCTCCTTAAGAAGCCTACAGACCCTTTTTAATTAGTCATGTGCTGCATAAGGACAATTCAGGTAAGGACAGAGCACAGACCCCATGGTGGTCCTAGGAAACCTCATCACCTAGCAACTGGGCAGACATTTGCTTACTGCACTAATGATGTTCCCACGATGCAATCGCCTTACAACCGACTCTCACAAGTGTAGCCTCGTCATTAAGCCGCACATGACTTCACCAGACACGATGACACACTGTCTTGTTTTTTGTTGTTGTTGAACCAGGGTCTTGATATACAGCCCAAGATGTATAGCCTCAAATACCTCATCCTCTTGACTCAGCCTGCTGACTGCTGGGATTACAATCCTGTACCTCCATATCAGACCAGCCCCATTCATACGATTGCTGGATGGCTCTCCTGCCCCCTTCTCTATTGGGGGACTATTTTTCTTTTAACACTGGGTCTTATGTAGGATGGCCTTAAGCCTTGTTTCCACCTCCCACATGCTGGGATCACTGGTGTATATTACCACCCTGGGCTCTTCCACACTTTCTTGGTAGATGTGTGATGCTATGCTGCTTGGATACTAAACCATCCATCTGACCTCATCATTACCCCCACCTTTGTTTTAGATCCTGGAAATTGAACTCAGTGCCTTTTGCACACTAGGCAAGTATTCTATCACAGAGCACTGAGCTACATCCCCAGCCTTCTGCTCTTAGCCTTGAAGCAGCTTCCAGTCCTCGCCCCAAGATGGGCACACCTGCTCTCAATGAGGCAGGCAGGCTAGTCAGTTGCCTCCAGTCAGAATAAATAACATGAGAGGGATGCACCCACCCAACACCTTTTTCAGGTAACAGAAGCTCCAGAGAGCCAAGAGGAGAATATTTTTATTGGAGCAGAAGACCTGGGGGTGGCCTCTCTGTAAGGTGCAACAATGGAAAGAGGCAGTCCCCCGGTGCCAGGGCAGACAGGGTGGGAATACTCATTTTGGATGTTGGGCCAGGACATTGGTACCTGAAACCTCTTCATGTCCATGACTCGTTCCAATGAGACAGAGCAGTCTGTCCAGTATACAGTCCACTCTTCATCCTCCCCCACTTCCTTCAGGCCACACATTTGGGCTGCCCGGCGCACTGTAGAGACAAGGGAGATCAATGATGCCAGCCTGGGCACCAGCCATAAGCCTGGGAACTCTAGCTAGGCCGAAGAAGGAACAGACCTAAACAGAGAACAGATTGTAAAGGCATGTGGTTCTTACCTCAGCATCTTAATTACCAGGCTGCAATCTCAAGTTCATGAGGCTAGCAGAGAAAACAAGGGCCAGACACTCTGCTGCTCTGGGTCAGGACTGTGTGACCCTAGATCGGAGCACAATGGCATTTAAGATTCTGAGTGGCTCTTTGTACAGATGTCAGAGTGGACAGAGATGAAAACCTTGACCTAGCAGGGCTATTACTTTTGGTTGTTAAGCCCCCTGAGAGCCTCTCAGGGGAAAAACATGGTTTTGGTTCTTGTGGTGTTGCAGATTAAACCGAGGGTCTTTTGTATGGCAGGTAAGCCTTTTAGCATCGAGCTATATCCTCAATCTTTCAAAAGCAGCTGTTTTTTGTTGTTTTGTTTAAGATATTATTTTGCTAGGCAGTGGTGGTGCACACCTTTTTTTTTTTTTTTTGAGACAGGGTCTCTCTGTGTAGCTTTGGAGCCTATCCTGGCACTTGCTCTGGAGACCAGGCTGGCCTCGAACTCACAGAGATCCACCTGCCTCTGCCTCCCAAGTGCTGGGATTAAAGGCGTGCGCCACCAATGCCCGGCTTGGGAGGCAGAGGCAGGTGAATCTCTGAGAGTTCCAGGCCAGCCTGGTTTACAGAGTGAGTTCCAGGACAGCCAGAGTTGTTAGAGAAACGCTGTCTCGAAAAACAAAAACAACAAAAAAGGTTTTCATTATTTTTAATTATGTGTATGTAAGTGGGCACATATATACTCGATCATGAATATGGAGGTCAGAAGATAATTTGCAGGAGTCTCCCTCTACCATGTGGGTCTTCAGGATTGAATTTGGGTTGTCAGTCTCATTGACAAGTGCATTTATATAATGAGCTATCTTCTCCAGTTCCCAAAGCAGCTTTTTCTTTGTTCTTTTCCTTACATTCCTTATTTAAAGGGTAGGGCATTGGTGAGATTCCATTGGATTTTTTGTTTTATTTTTTTGTTTTTTGTTTGCTGGCTATCTAACCAAGAATAACCTTGAACTTCTGATCCTTTTGACTCCATCTCCCAAATGCAAGGATTACTGGAATAAGCCACCAGGACCAGTTTAATGGAGTGCTGAGGATCAAACCCAAGGCTTCATGCTAGACAAGCATTCTACCAATGAGCTACATCCCAGAAACTTTTTTGTTTTGTTTTGTTTTGTTTTTTTGAGACAGGGTTTCTCTGTGGCTTTGGATGCTGTTCTGGCACTCACTCTGTAGACCAGGCTGGTGTCGAACTCATATAGATCCACCTACCTCTGCCTCCCGAGTGCTGGGATTAAAGGTGTGCGCCTATGCAGCCTTGGCTGTCACTCACTATGTATGCCAAGCTGGTCTGAAACTCACACAGATCTGCCTGCCTCTGCCTCCCAAGTGCCTGGCTTGTGTCTTTTTGTTGTTGTTTGGTTTTTCAAGACAGGGTTTTTCTATGTAGCTTTGGAGCCTATCCTGGTACTCGCTCTGGAGACCAGACTGGCCTCGAACTCACAGAGATCTGCCTGCCTCTGCCTCCCAAGTGCTGGGATTAAAGGCGTGTGCCACCAACACCTGGCTGGCTTGTGGTTTTTTTTTGTTTGTTTGTTTGTTTTTGCCAGCTGACTGTGGAGATACCTCCCCTACCAGTGAGACTAAAAGCAATAACCACATCTCAGCTGTTAGGAGCTAAATCTGGGGACATCCAGGAACCTTAGTATACGTAGTAGGTAACCTAGGCAGGAGCCAGGAGCTGGGAGAATGGCTGTGGCTCTGTCCCAGGAATAAGAACAAATAAGAACAACGGTCCCTCTTGGACACATGGCTGTGAGTGATGAGACCAGTGCTTACCACTCTCATACTTGCAGTTGGTCAGATTGATGGCCAGAGGTCTGAAATGAAGGAAGAACAGAAATCAGGCAGAGTAGAGGGGAAGAACAGGCTCCAGGCTGCCAGGAGCTCAGGTGAAGAAATAGCTAACCAATTTATAATACAAATTCATTTTCTCTAGAAGCATCTTAAATACTAAACCAACATGCTAAAATTCCAAGATGGGCAGATCCAAATAGCTCTGAATTTTTTTTCTGTTGCAGAAAAGATTAATGCTGTTCCAGCCTTTCCTTTCTTTTTGGATTTTCGAGAGAGGGAGTTTCTCTGTATAGGCCTGGCTGTCCTGGCATTTGCTCTGTAGACCAGGCTGGCCTGCAACTCAGAGAGCATCCTGCCTCTGCCTCTTGAGTGCTGGGCTCAAAGGCATATGCCAAACATGACTGGCTTTTTTTTTTTGTGTGTGTGAGCATTGGGGATTCAAACTCAGGCCTTTATGCTGTGTGCACCAAGCTCTCTTCCCCAATTGAGCCATCTCAGCAGCCCATTGTTATATGGCTTTTGAATCAGGGTCCCAAACTGGCCTGGAAAACATAGTAATTCTTTCCTCTCAGCCTTCCTATTGCTGGGATTATTAATGTTCACCACAACCTGGCTCTCTTCCCCTCTCCCAAAGGCTAAAGTGAAAAGCTTAGATCCCATCATTCCCTTACCAAATGGTAGTGTGAGGCCAAGGGGTGACTCTCTGGAGCCAGACCTGCGAGGGATCTAGGGAAAAGTTACCTTCGTTTCCGCTTTCTCTTTCTCCTCCCACCTTCCAAATCATCTGTGTCTGTTGCACTTATGGTTTTCTTTGGAATTTTCTTGGCTATAACAGATAAGGCAACCCCATTCTCAAACTCTTTATAGTCAGTCTTCCCAAGTGCCTGCTGGGAAGAGTTACGGGTGGTGGCTTCCTCTCTAACACATTCTTCCTCAGATTCTTCTTCCTCAACATAGTCTTCCTCAGATTCACTGGTCTTACAGGTACTAGGCTCCATCCTCTTAGATTCTAAGGGGAAAGGGATGGGAATAAAATATTTATCAGACTTTTCAGGCCCAGGAAGTCCAGCAGGAATTCACCCAGAGACCCTTTATGGTGCTATAAGGAAATGTTGCCCTTTCAGACCAATCCTACTGTAGACTAGGTTGTTTCCCAAGTAGAGGGCTGTGGGGAGCATGGGATATTGGTAGGATGTAAAGTCCTTCTCTAAAAGACCCATCATCCAGGATTACCCTGGATCATACAACACATTGCAGTGCATGCAGAACAGAGCTGGTAGAAGCCACGGCCGCGGCTGTTTTGTTTTTTGAATGGAAAGAGAGGTGGCTGACAGAACTGGAGGACTCTTTGCTTTAAAATACAGCTGATGATCAAAGGTTCTCGAGAAAGCCCTTTCCCTGAGCCAGGATTCAGTTTCCCTATACGAGTACGTCGGGGTCGGGCTCTGATAGAGGAAAGGAAACCCACGGCAGACACTGCCCACCCGAGGTTTCGAGGAGAGCTCAGGGGCTGCTGGAGCTGCCCCTAGCAGCCCGGGGCTGGACTCAGCTGGTCGCTCATGGCCGCCCCTCGCCCGCTGAGGCTCTTCCTGGGCGTTGCTGGACGTCGGGGACCGTCTCTTCGTTCCACAGGACTGTCTGTCCCCGCCGTCGCGAGGGGGAGCCCGCTCCCCCTCGGGGTTAACTCCAAGCTCCGAGATCCTGGCGGCGGCGGCGCCTTCTTAAGCAAGCCGACGGCCGCCGCCGCCGCCGTCGCTATGGACACGAAGGCGGCCCCTATTGGAGTAGCGTTCTGGGGGCGTGGCCTGCTTGGGAACCACACCCACTTTCGCGCCAGCCGAAGCCATCTTGGCACGGAGCTGATTGCTTTTGCCGAGTGAGGCTGGAGGTCAGAGTGTACAGGGGGTGCTGAAGAGATGGCTCAGAGGTTAAGAGCACTGGCTGCTCCTCCAGAGATTTCAAGTTCAAGTCCAGCATCCACATGGTGGCTCACAACCATCTCTAATGAGATCTGGTGCCCTCTTCTGGCCTGCAGGGAGACATGCAGACAGAACACTGTATACATAACAAAGAAATCTTAAAAAAAAAAAAAAGTGTACAGAGGCTCAGCCAAGAGGAATTCTTCCGAGGCATTATGGGACTTTGTAGTCCTTCCGCATTGGCGCGGGTTCGCACCTTTCCCACCGAACCTTTCCTGGAATCCGGTGGCTATGGCAAAAAAGTCTGTATTTGGGACAAATAGCTGCTTGTGTTTCTTCTGCATTTTAGAAATGGTGCTATAAGAAAAGTCCCCGCCTTTGATAGGACAGCAGCAATTAGGCCACATGCCTTTCACCCTGATAAACTGAAACAGTTCCATTAACGAATTACAGGGGTCGGCTAGGTGGTTCAGCAGGTAAAAGTGTTGAGGACTTGAGTCCGTCCCCTGCAACCCAAGTGGTGGAAAAAGAGAACTAGGGCAACGGAAAGTTGTCCTCTGACCGCTACACCCACGCTTTGGCATGGTGCCCGCCACCATAATTTTTTAACTGAAAGAAAAGGAAATAACAGCTATCTTATCCAATTGCTCTGTCATTGTCCCTTTCCTATACCTGACATTCCCCCACTTTGAATTCCACTCGCTTCCTCCGCCAAACCCAACCCAACTTGGCATTCAGATTATGTGAAAAATCCAAAGAATCAAACATTTTTGTTGTTTTTTCGAGACAGGGTTTCTCTGTGTAGCTTTGGAGCCTATCCTGGCAACTTGCTCTGGAGACCAGGCTGGCCTCGAACTCACAGAGATCCGCCTGCCTCTGCCTCCAGAGGGCTGGGGTTAAAGGAGTGTGCCACCAAAGCCCAGCTAGAATCAAACATTTTTGTTCATAAAAAAGATAAACATTGAGCTGGGCGGTAGTGATTACTTTAGTCCCAGCACTCAGAAGGCAGAAGCAGGTGGATTTCTGTGAGTCTGAGCCCAGCCTGGTTTACAGAGGGAGTTCCAGAACAGCCAAAGTCACACAGACAAACCTGTCTCGAAAATAAAAACAAACAACCACTGCAGAAAGTACATGAATATGAGTAATTTCTGCTTACTCTGAAATTTTCCCAAGTAATTGGTTGTGCAGTGATGGAAGCTTTTGTCATTCTTATTAAAATATTAAAATATTTTATGTGTATGAGTTTTTGCCTGCACATATGTGAACCACATTCTTGCCTGGTGCCCATGCAAGTCAGAAAAGGGCATCAGATCCCTTGGAACTGGAGTTACACATGGTTGTGAGTTACCATGTGGGTGATGGGAGCTGAACCTTGTCCTCTGAAGTGCAACAAGTGCTCTTAACCACTGAGCAATTTCTCCAGCATTTTTTATTATTTAAAAAATTACTTGTTAAACCTGTGTGTGCCTGAGTGCATATCTGTGCACCATGTATGCAGAGCCAGGAGGCCAGAAAACTGTGTTGGATCTCCTGTAACTGGAGTTACAAATGGTTGTAAGCTGCCACGTGGATTCTGGGAATTTTATCCATGTCCTCTGGAAGAGCAGCCAGTGCTCTTAACCACTGAGCCATTTCCCCAGCCCTCCCTTTTATTATTATAAAGATTTATTTATTATTTCATGGGTATGAGTATTTTGGATGCATTTGTGTATATGTACCACATGTATGCAATGCCCTCAAAGGCCAGAAGAGCTTGTCAATTCCCTGGAACTGGCTTTACATATGGTTGTTAGCTGCCACGTGGGTGCTAGGAACCAAACCCTGGTCCTCTATAAGAGTAACAAGTGCTCTTAACTGCTGAGCCATCTCTCCAGACTGTCATTCTTCTAGTCTTTTCTTTCCCTTTTTTTTTTTTTTTTTTTTTTTTTTTTTTTTTGAGACAGGGTTTCTCTGTGTAGCTTTGGAGCTTGTCCTGCAACTCAGTCTGTAGACCAGATTGGCCTTGAACTCACAGAGATCTGCCTGCCTCTGCCCCCAATGTGTGTGCCACTACCACCATGCTCATTCTTCTGTTCTTAAAATCAGTATTCTATATGATTAAGAAACGTATTATTCTAGCCAGGTGGTGGTGGCAAGCACCTTTAGCTTGTCTAAGAAAAGAGGTGAGAAGTAGTTGAAATATTCACAAGAATACATTCATTCAGTGCTTTCTTTATACTCCTTAATCTGAGTGTGGGAGGCAGTCATGAAAAGAACTGCCCAAATGCCAGTGATTAACAGCCTTCGGAAAGGGCCTTGAATCAGTAAAACCTGAAGAATTATAGCCCTTCTTGGGCCATCAGGGCCACCAGTGCTGCCTGCACCTCATCTGCCTGAGTTTGGGGCAGCAGACAGTCCTGAATGAGGGCCATTGCAGCTGCCTCTGTCAAGCTGCCGAAGTCCTGGGATGTTTTAACGGGTAGGTGGCCAGCCAGCTCACAGAGCGCAACATTGAAAGCCCCACTATCCTTTATTCCAAAGCTGGACTTCCTGGCCCACAAAATGACTCGGATCCCAGTGAGGTCCGAGGAAGGTGATGCCTGCCCAGGTGGAGCTCCCCGGGTCACAAATAAGTTATGTGCAATCTCATGGTCACTCAGATAGTCAGTGGCCCGGCATACCCTGCTAATCAAGGCTTCCAGGTCAGGCCCTGGCCCACTAGTGTAAAAGAGGAAGCCAGGAGCTGGGAGGTTCTGCAGCAGATATATACAGGCTTTGGGGTCTAGAGGTGTGCTTGGGGCGCCCTCCACAGGCAGTGGGTGGGCCAGGTAGTAGCCATGCAGGTGGAGATGGTTCACAGAGGCCAAACCTCCCAGGCTGTTGAAGCCTACCCGGAAGCCTGGGTGCAAGCTCAGTAGCACAGCTTCAAGCCCGGCCCGCAGCACACCAGGCAGCAGACGTTGCGGGAGCCCATGAGCAGGCTCTGGCACCAGCAGCACATGGCCCCACTCCAGGGGGCTGACATTGATCACCACAAAGATGTCCTCTTGCTTTGAGGCAGCTGGGCCATTAGGCTCCCGTTGCAAACGGAAAAGGACTTCTCCAGGTCGGATTTTTGTGAAGTTAAACTGTTCTGGGTCAAACTCCTGCCTCACACTTTTGATATTCTGGGGGGGCCTCCTTTGTACTCCTCGCTCTATATTCAGCTGAGCTACAAACCCCACGGAACCAGGGAGGATTTGGGTTTGCAGATCTTCTAGGCGATATCGAAACAGGCCCAGTTCCACTCTCTGCTTCCATGCAGAGCAGAGGGCAGAATCAAAGCGGGACCGTGGCAGTGAGTCCAGGGTGCTGCCTGCATTCCTAGGCCACTGAACTCCCTTCCCTGCGAGGTCCTTCTGTCCATAGACAAAGTCAGGGATGCCTTGTTCCTCCCAGTCCTCGGGGTTTGGAGGGAGCAGATAGGAAGTTTCCTGTGAATCATGTGGTACAGCCATGAAGGCTACCTGAAACAATCAGAAGTGAAAAGTACATAAATACAGAGAGCAGCCTAGTTCCAGGTTTTTGTTTTTTTTTTTTTTCTTTTTCTTTTTTCTTTTTCTTTTTTTTTTTTTTGAGGCAGGGTTTCAAAAAATCCCTGTACTACCACCACCCAGCTCATCATTGTTATTTTATTACTTATTGGGTTTTCTGAGACAAGGTTTCTCTGTGTACTCTGTGTATCCCTGGCTTTCTGGAGCTCACTCTGTAGACCAGGCTGGCCTTGAACTCAAGAGATCCTTCTGCCTCTGCCTCCCAAGTGCTGGGATTAAAGGCATGCACCACTATGCCAGGATATATATATATATATATGATTTTATTTATTATGTATATAGCATTCTGCTTCCATGTATATCTGCACATCAAAAGAGGACACCAGATCTCATAACGGATGGTTGTGAGCCACCATGTGGTTGCTGGGAATTGAACTCAGGACCTCTGGAAGAGCAGACAGTGCTCTTAATCTCTGAGCCATCTCTCCAGTCCGCCAGGCTATATTTTTAATTCAGTAAAAATACCCGGGGCTGTTATTATTATTTGGGTACAGGTGCTTGCCACCAAGGCTTACAACCTGAGTTCAATCCCCAGGACCCACATGGTGGAAGAAGAGAACTGACTCCTCTGACCTTCATGTGTACACTTGCTCACATATAAATACATGTAATAAAAATGTAATATAAAATATACTTTGAACTGGGTATGGCGACACATTTCTTTAATCTCAGCACTCAGGAAGCAGAGGCAGTTGTTGATCTTAGCACTCAGGAAGCTGAGGCAGAAGGAGCTCTGTGAGTTCAGAGACCAGTCCGGACTATGTATTGAGTCCCAGGACAGCCAGGACTACACAGAGAGATCCTGCCTCAGAATAAATAAATCAGTCCAAATAAATGGAAACACACAGAGAGAGAAAAGGAACTCTTAAAAAGTAAAGATGGATGGACTGGCAAGTGAGCTCATCCAGTAAAGGCGCTTGCTGCCAAGCCTGATGACTTTAGCTCCATACCCCAAACCTACATGGTAGACAGAAAGAACAGACTCCTGAAAGTTCTCTTAGTTTCTCATGTGCACTATAACATGTGTATCCATGCACAAACCAGTAAGTGTAAATCTAAAAATATTTTTAAATAGAGATCAATTAGGAAGATACTTAGCATCCTTGGGCCTCCACACACATGCAAGTGTATGCACACATACACCCACCACACATTCACTATATACATACGTACCAGACACACACAATTAGAAGACAACATATGTATGTTTTGAAGGGGCTGAAGAGACAGATAGCTTAGTCATGACCCCTTTGAGGGCCATATATCAGCTATCCTGCATATCAGGCATTTATGATTCATAACTGTAGCACAATTAGGTATGAAGTTGCAACAAAATAATTTTATGGTTGGGGATCACTACAACACAAAGAACTGTATTAAAGGGCTGCAGCATTAGGAAGGTTGAGAACCACCGGCTTAGTGGGCAAATGTGAAGAACTGAATTTGAATCCCCAGAAGCCAAATAGAGTTGAGCACGATACATGTCTGTAATTCCAGTGCTCCTGCCCTGAGATGGAAGGTGGAGACTAACACCCAAAGTTGCCCTATGACCTCCACATGTATGGCAGGTGGGAGCACTTGCATACACAGACATAAATCATACAACCCAACACTCTCTCTTTTTATGTGTGTCTCTGTATATATGTGTGTGTGTATTTGAGGGCTGGGGATGTAGTTCTGTAGTCAAATTTTTCTTTGGGCTGCCAGCTCACAAATGGACATGGAGACATAATTATGAAAGTTTGGCCTTAGCTTAGGCTTGTCCCACTAGCTCTTTTTTTTTTTTTTTTTTTTTTTTTTTTTTTTTTTTTTTTCTTCTTTTTTTTTTTTTTTTTCTTCTTTTTTTTTTTTTTTTTTTGGTTTTTCGAGACAGGGTTTCTCTGTGTAGCTTTGGAGCCCATCCTGGCAGTCGCTCTGGAGAGCAGGCTGGCCTTGAACTCACAGAGATCCGCCTGCCTCTGCCTCTGCCTCCCGAGTGCTGTGATCAAAGGGGTGTACCATGAACGCCCGGCTCCCACTAGCTCTTATAACTTAGATTAACCCATTTACATTGTGTCAGGTGGCTTGTTACTTCATCTCTCCACACATGTTGCTTCCTTGAGTCTTGCTGGTGACTCTGCCTTCCTCTCAGATTTTTCTTTGCTTGGAAGTCCCACCTATACCTCTTCCCTAGCTATTGGCCATTCAGCTTTTTATTACACCAATCACAGCAATACACTGTCACAATATCTCACGACACAGCTCAGTTGGTAGACTGCTTGCCTAGCCTTGGGTTTGATCCCCAGACTGAGTAATCTGGGTGTGCTAGCACATGCCTGTGATCTCAGCACTTGGGAGGTGAAGACAGGCAAATAGAAGTTCAGCGTTGACTACACAGTGAATCTGAGGCCAGCCCGAGCTACATGAGATCCTTCTCAAAAATAAAGATTAGCCTGAGTGTCAGGGGTGGTGATGCACACCTGAGACCTCAGCATTTGTGAGGCTGTCAGGACCAACTCTATGTCCAACATAGCCTACACAGTGAGAATCTGCTAAGAGAGAGAAAGGGGGGAAGGTAAGGGTGGAGGGAGGGGGACCAGCTTCAGTCTAAGTTTGGTTTCCCTCAGCTTTGCTGGTTTTTACTGGCGAACCAAAAGGAAAATACCCAAACAAAATGATGCACAGAAGTCAACCTAAGGTTTAATAAGTATAGAGTTCTGTTTTCCTAAATTAAAATACAAATGGCCAATATTTCAAAAAGTGTTAAAAATCTTTGACCAATAGAGATCATAGTCCAGATATAGTCAAAATGACAACCAGGAATGGCCATCACAAATTCTAAAACTAAAGTAACTTGTTTTCTAGATTCTTACCTTTTTTGCCTTATGACCCCCCACTGATGGCTGGCCATGAGAGATACTTACTGATCACCTGACATTGACTCATTTGTTACTTCTGGCACTGGCCAATGCAGGCCAAAAGAGGAAGCCTTCCAACTGACCCCCAGCCCAACCTTTTCTGCCCTATATCTACTCCAGAGAGTGGGCTGGATTCTTAGACTAAAGAAGCCCCTACCTCCTGCAGGTTTTGTCATGAATAAAAGACAATTATTGTTATTTATTCCTGAGTCTGTTTTCCTTCTCCCCATCTTACTAAAATGTAATCCTTCCTTCCTTCCTTTTTTTTTAAATTATTTTTTTGGTTTTTCGAGACAGGGTTTCTCTGTGTAGCTTTGGAGCCTATCCTGGCTCTCGCTCTGGAGACCAGGCTGGCCTCAAACTCACAGAGATCCGCCTGCGTCTGCCTCTAGAGTGCTTGGATTAAAGGCATGAGCCACCAACGCCCGGCCCTTCCGTCCTTTTTTATTCATTTATTTTTGAAGTCCTGGAGGATGGAAGCTGGGGCTTCAAACATGTTAGACTGAGTTACAGCCTATGCTGGTTATTTTATTTATGTATTGTCACTTGACACAGACCTAGACATATCTGGGAAGAGGAAACCTCAACTGAGGAAGTGCCTTCATCATATCGGCATTTTCTTGACTGATGATTGATGTGGGAGCCCATTGTGGGTGATATTACCCCTGGGCTAGTGGTTCTGAGTTGAATAAGAAAGCAGTTGGAGCAAGCCATGAGGAGCAAGCCAGTAAGCAGTGTCTCTTCATGGCTCAAGTTTCTACTTCCAGGGTGATGCCTGGCCTTTACCCAGTGATGAAATTAACCAGAGAGACCAGCCTGGTCTACAAGAGCTAGTTCCAGGACAGCCTCCAAAGTCACAGAGAAACCCTGTCTCGAAAAACAAACAAACAAACAAAAAGAATGAATCTGTATAATGGATACTGGGGATACAAACCATACTCCAGGGCGGGCTCATGTCCAACACTTGATGGCCAATTCAAAACCAACTCAATAGTATTTTGGGATATTTCCTTTTTTGTCTCATAATGCTTTGTTTGAGCTTTTAAAAAAATTATTGGTCTTTTGCTTATATATCATAGTTTCTGGGTGTGTGTGGGGGAATGAATCTATATTAGGTTACTCTAGAGCAGTGGTTCTCAACCTGCAGGTCTTGACCCCTTGGGTGTTGAATGACCCTTTCACAAGGGTCTCTTAAGACCATTGGAAAACATAGATATTAGCATTACAACACATAACAGTAGCAAAATTACAGTTATCAAGTAGCAACAAAAATAATTTTCAAGATGAGGGTCACAGCATGAGGAACTGTATTAAAGAGTCAAAGCATTAGGAAGACTGAGAACCAGTGCTCTACAGGAACAGAACTGGTGAATATACATTAAACGGGGAGTTATTAGATTGGTTTACTCAACATGGTCTGGGCAGACAAACAATGCTAGTTGCTTAGTCCACAAGGATGGGTGTCTAGGCAATTCCAATCTGGTGCTGAAGGCCTGGAGAGTTGCTGAAGAGCTGCTGGCCTTTAGTTTGAGCTGGTAGCTGGAAGAGGCTGATTCTAAAGTTAGCAAAGGAATTCCGTGGTGGCAGTAACAGGATAGACGTACTTATCAGCAAGCGAAGGCAAACAGGCCAAAAGCAGTTTCCTTCTTCCGTTTCCCTTTTGTACAGGCTACCACTCGAAGGCACTGTGCACATTCCCAATTCAAAAAATCTAGACCACCAACATTAACTGTCACAGAATGCACCTTTCCTTCCTCCTCCCAGCAGCTTGGAATCCTCGCTTTTTCACGTAGTGTAAATTTGTTCATTCGCACATGCATCTGATAATTACTTGGATGTCCTGGAGGTTAAGCGGAGAAAAGAGCAAATAAGCAGACCAACCTTAGTCTCTACAGCTGGAAGCTTGCATTTTGTGGAAGGGGTCAAAGGAGGCAAGTCAGCTGTCACGATAAAACAGCAGTAGGGATCTGTGGACAGGACCGACCTCTAAACGCCCGAGTCCTGACACATCACTAAAACTGGACTTAGGTAAAACGGAAGCCTACCTTGTCAACTGTTCCACGAATGGACGATAACTGCACAAATCCAGTGAGTGCTCAGTAAACAGCTTCAAGAGGCAGCAAGCTAAGCTACTTCTGGAAGAGTCGGCAAGGTGGCGTGGCTGCAGCTCGTGTCCAGTAAGACGGTCTGGGACTGTCCCTCTCGGCCGAGGGGCACCGGATCTCCTCCAGTCCCGGAGTGAGTCTGGAGGTTAACTGCCCCTACCCAGGACTGAGGTCTCCAGCACCTGCTCTAGGTGAGGCGGATACATCTCAAGACTCCACAAGCAGACGCATCCTGGAACACAGGGAGGAGCGTGGTGTCCCCCGACGCAGGCGCAGTCTGCACCACGTGCGCGCGGCGCGACTAGCCACGCCCCTCTGGAGGCGGGGCCAGGGGGCCTGGGCCCCGCCCCTGCGCGTCCGGCTCCTCCCCGGGCCCTGCCTCCAGCTCGCCTGGGCCCGCGGGGAGCCGGGAGTGGGCTGGCTGAACCTTGCCAAGGGTGCCAGGGCACTGTACGCAGGGGCGGGCCCGGGGGCGGAGGCCCGGCAGCGGTTGCTGTGGGAACGGGGCGGGGACGCGGCCCCGAGGACGGAAGTGAGAAAGTTGCCGGAGTCCCGGGGAGAGTTGGCGGAGCTGTGCGCGCATCGCAGCGATGGGAGGCTCGGGCAGTCGCCTGTCCAAGGAGCTGCTGGCCGAGTACCAGGTGC